AGGAAAATTACAACCTCTCGTATTCTATCCAACACAAGGCGAAGCGGATCCACCGAATCTTTAACATCAGCCATTCAAAATTAGTAATAATCTTGTTGGCTGCTGCAAACTGCAGTGCAGAAGCGGAATGTTCATTGGGGACTTCTGGTTTTATTTCAAAATTTATAATGAGTGCAAAGGTATTGGGGCTAGCGATGTGATTGATACGGCTAGGTTAATCTGTCATTTATTCAAAGCGTTGACCGTCATTATGCGGAGAGTTAGAGATTCATCAGGATACTATTCGTAAAGCGTTTATAGGACCTCAGCAAAGCACTTCTCTTTTCACAGTCCAACAGAAGTACACTCTATACATGTCACATAGTTCAAGCTCGTATAGAGATGATGGAACGCGAAGAAAAGTAAAAGCGAAAAACATTTTTTCCTCTTTTGATTTTTATCGCCTATTTGGCATCTATTATGATTTCTCGTAACATTTTTGATTTTTCTGGACTAATGGAATCTGATTGAACGAGTACTAGTCTGTAGTTATGAAGTTCCAGAACTTTTTAGTAACGTTACCTTCGACCATCTTTTGAGTACAGTTACTGTGCCTTGCGCTCCTTAAAATTTCGTTAAGCATTTTTAGTAGAAAGCAGCGAATCCACAACTTTTTAAAAAATTTCTTAAAGCATCCTAACATTAACTTTTCAATGATCATTGCATAGCTTCTGTAATGTATTAATATGGACAGAAATTCATCTGAGTCAATCCTATTTCCAAAAAATATTCTTACTCTAATATGATATTAGGTGATACGAGTGTGGCTGGTTCTGAGTTCTCTGATACCAATATTGATGTCAATATCCTATACGAAATCAGTGAACTTCGACGAGAAGAGGGTGCATCAAGTCCGAGCAATTGCAGTATTGACAGCGATGTAGGTTTTGAATACTTATAAATTCTTGAAGATTAGATTTACATCTAGAGTACCTAAGTAATAAATTCCAGTCCAAGCATTTGATGTTGCAGGAAATGGTACCTCCAGATGTATGCATTTGGCATCCGCAGTCCTGGACCTACAATATTGATCTTATCACATACTTTCGTGCAACATCACCATGTCAGGAAGTTACTAGAGTCTTAATTCCTAAGGAGTATGTTGAGCTAACCGTCAAAGGTTGGACCATTTTTGCTAATCATGTTCTCTCTTAGATTTGATGTTTGTTATTTTAGCTCCGCAGTATGAGGAGACAGAGACTGAAGTTGAACTTCTAAGAAAATTCCCTCATAGTGGTGCTTTTGCACGAAGAAGAGGAGCGCGTTGCATACAAAGATCACTTAGCGTTCCCGGTTAGAAAAATTGGTTTTTATCAGTAATTCTATCTTGTATCACTATTCGTCTAATTAAGATTATTCCAAAGCAGTTGCAGCTTCAAAGAATGAAAGTGCTTGTGTGGATCTCAATTTTATAAACGCCGAACCGGAGGAGGAGCTGTGTATTGTTGAATGCATCACTGGTGAAGAGGAACGTCTTTCTTTAAATTGTCAAGGTAAACAGTTTCTTGAATTCCTTGATGTTTAAAAACTATTGATGGACCTGACAGGGGTTGATTAATTTTGTTCAGCTTCAACTATCGAACATGCTTTCTTTGACTACGAAGCCAAGAACTTGAAACAAAATCATCAATGTTGCCTTACGCAATGTGTTGACCGACATCAACAAAGTATCTCTTTGAAAGCAAAGGGTAAGGAGCCATACTTTCGGATAAAACTATCTTTTCTTTTACTTCTATCCAGATTTACTCAATGTTCAAGCAGAGATTTTTGTGAGAATTGGGATTTAGTTACGCACTAAATTATCATATTTTAAGCTGCAAATAATGAAACCTGCTTGTTGAACGACTCTGTAGCAAATGCAAAACAGGAAACTTTGAGCTGTCTCATTGAAGTCAATGATAGTCAGAGCCTTATTGCCAGTTTGAGGGCTAAAGGTATGTTCGATTGTTCCGTTTGCAGATATTAGCTTATGCCAAAGTCATTTACGGAACCTTTTTAAGCTCCAACCGTAGAAAACTGTGACATTCAAACTGGTATTCAACATGCAGATGACGGAGTTGGAAGCTGCTATGTAAAACTTGACGACCATTATTTTGCAAGCACTGTTTTGATCTCAAAAGGTGAGCAGACTAAAATGTTGCAATGGCGAATGTTATTCGCCTCTTAAACGCGTTGAACCTGCGTATCCTTCAACGATTTCAGCTCCAACACGTGAAGAGATTGCCTGTGATGCGTTTTTGGAATCTAAAGTAATATTTGAGAGATACAGGAAGATTGTACCAGAGAGTTTGCACTTTGCAGTGTCACTTACATGCAAAGGCGAGTTCCTCCGTTTGCATAATCTCTTCTGTTTTTTTTTT